TTCACCTTTCATGGATTATTTTTTTGTTAGGACTTTATTAGTCTGGGCTTGAGAGGATATCAGTGGTATTCTCATACTGGGTAATTGAGGAGTTCTCCAAAGGTACCCTTTTTAATGGAATGGTAATAAAGAACCATGGAGTTAGTAACAGAGGAGTACTGTTTCCACCAGCCCCAGGTCTGAACAGGTGAAGGAAGCTCTATGGAGAGAGCTATCCAATGTGCTGTGACTTGTCAGGGAAAGAACTAGAGGAGTATAAATCCTGATATAACTTTCTTCTCACCCCCATCCCTCTGATGGTGCTTCCCATTGGGTGAACCCGGGCAGAGTGGCTGAACCCAATCACAAGCCAGAGGGCATCCAGCATAAGTACTTGGTGATTTTCACTTTTATTAGAGGGGAGCCAATGATGAGGGGGAAAGTAGGATCAAGAAATACATTTATTTAACAGATGTTCAACAGGTATTTAGGTAGTTCTCTTTATGTGCTGCATATAGTTGCAGGTGGTTGGGTACAATAGTGAAAAAAACAGGCCAAGATCCCTGTTTCATGGAACTTACATTCTAGTGGGAAGAGGCAGACAATAAGTATTAAACATAATAAGTAAATTTTCCAGTGCGTCAGAAAGTTTTATGTGCCTTGGACAAAAGAAAAAGAGAAAGTAAGGAGGATCAGGAGCATGAAGTAGAGGGACAGGTTATCTTGTCTTTAGTTTTCTTTTGGAACAAGTGAGAGTAAATCATGCAGCTAGTTCTTTTATACCCACGGTGAGTGGGAAATGTCATCACATTCACTATTTGAAATCTAGGGCTGGAAAACGAGTAGAGTAGAGGGTTGTTACCTGGATGCCTTGAGGTACATGGTGTGCCTGGGGGAGGGTATAGACTTGAAAATGATACATTCTGAGAATTGAGAAGGAGTCAGTAGAGCTGGAGTGGCTGTCATGGGTGTGAGGAGTGTGAGGATGGAGAGTGGAATGAAGTTGGGAGTAAAGGCAGTGTCAGGAAAAATACCAGTGGTTTGTCACACAAGGTGCCACCCTTAACACCTTTCCAGGTCAGACAAGTGGGTGTCACTAGTGATCATGAGATTAATTTCCCCCAACCCACTCTTCTACCATATTCCATTGCCAAAGTCAGAAGTCCGGAGTGGGTCTGCAGCTACTTCAGGACAGGTAGCAAGTCTTATGAGTTATTTCCCCCAAGTATCCCTTAATTTGTTCCTTTTTCTCCATTCCCATTGCTGTTGTCTTAGTTCAGATGCTCATCATTGCCTGTTTGGACTATTTCACGCCTCTTAACTGTTCTTCCTGCCTTTCATCTCTGAACTTCTCCAATTAATTGTATACTCTGTTACTTTTCTGCTTAAAATTATTCACAGGGTCTTCACATCCTTTAGGATGAATTCCTATGAGGCACATCACAATCTGGCCTGCCTTCTCCCTCTCCTGCGTGCTTCTGCTCTCAGTCTGTGTTCCACTCACTCTCAACACATTTCCTGAGTTCATCTTTGCAAAGCTGCCTACTTGCCTCTTCCCTTCAACACCTCCATCCCTCACTCTGCTCTCAAAATTTGTGTGTGTGTGTGTATTTTTTGCTTACATCTAAGTGCCACCTTCTGTAAGGCTTTTTCTCCCCTCTTTTTTCACCCCAGCAATTGGGTTCTCCATCTTCAGGGTTTTAGTCACACTTTGTGTAGAATTTTCTGAACATGTTTCCCTCTGTTTGTGATTATAAGTTACATGTTTATTTCCTGAGATTACATGTATAATCTCAGAGCTTCCGAGGGCTGAGGGCCCAGGACCAGGCCTTATTTGTGGTTGTAGCCCCAGACCCTGACATACCTGCCCTGGGGCAGAGTAAGTGCTCAGTGAGGGACTGTTGGATGAAAGAGCCATGTGGATGACATGTGCTCCATGGGGAGGAACCATCAGAGTGCAGAAGGAATTAGAAGGGAGAAAAATAAAGACTTCTGTTTCTAGGAGATACTCTGGCCTTTATCACCACACTTCTATCTTTTAGAAAACTTTATTGATGCTTAGTAGAGTAATATAGAAGAGTGAATATATCATAAATGTACAGTTTGATGGGTTTTTATGAGCTGCACACCCATGTAAACTGATGCCCAGATAAAGAAACGGAACATGAGCAGTACCTCAGAAAGCCCCCTTCATGCTCCTTCCTGTCACCAAGGTTAACCATTCTCCTCACTTCTTATCTCATACATTTATTTTGTCTGATTTTGAATGTCATATAAAAGGAATAATTTAGTATTCACTCTTTTGTATCTGGCTTCTTTTACTCAACAATTTATCTGTGAGATTCATCCATGGTTACTAGTGTTTGTAGATTATTCATTTTCATTGCTATGTTGTATTCCTTTTTGTGAATATACCACAGTTTATTCTGTTGATGGGCGTTTGGGAGGCTCCAATTTGGTTACAATGAACAGTGCTGCTGTGCATTTTCTTGTAAATGTTTTTTGGTGAACATAAGTGTTCATTCCTGTTGGTTATAGCCCCAAGACTGGAATTGCTGACTTATAGAATGTGAGTATATTCAGCAGTAATAGTATATTCAACATTAATACTGCTAAAAGTTTTTCCAAAGTGGCTGCATCAATTTGTATTTCCCTCAGTATGTTTTGGTTGTTTCACATCCTTGACAAAACTTGATATTTCCTTTTTTATTTAGCCATTCTTTCATGTTTGTAGTGGTGTCTCATTTTGGTTTTCACCATTAAAAATACTTCATCTTTAAATAGTTTTATACTATTTACAGAAGAATTAAACTTAGCCCCCTAATCTCTCATTGTACACAAAAATGAAATCAAAATGGATTAAAGACTTGAATCTAATACCTGAAACTATGAAACTACTAGAAGAAAACATTGAGGAAATGCTCCAGGACATTTGTCTTGGCAAAAATTTCTTGTGTAAAACCTCAAAAGTACAGGTAACCAAAACAAAAATAGACAATTGGGGTTATATCAAGCTAAAAAGCTTCTACACAGCAAAGGAGACAGTCAACAAAGTTGAATACACAACCCACAGAATGGGAGAAAATACTTGTAAACTATCCGTCTGACAGGGGATTACTAACCAGAATATGTAAGGAGCTCAAACAACCCAATAGCAAATAATAAACAAATAATCCGATTAAAAAATGGGCAAAAGAACTGAACGGGTATTTCTCAAAAGAAGACATACAACTGACCAGTATTTGAAAAAAAGCTCAACATCATTAGTCATCAGAGAAATGCAAATCAAAACCGCAGTGCGATACCTTCTCACCCCAGTTAAAATGACTTATATCAAAAAGACAGGAAATTGACAGATGGTGGTGAGGATGTGGAGAAAGGGGAACCTTCCTATACTGTTGATGCGAATGTAAATTGGTACAGCCATTATGGAGAACAGTACGGAGGTTCCTTAAAAAACTAAAAATGGAACTACTGTATGATCCAGCAGTTCCACTACTGTGTTTGTATATATCCAAAAGGAAGGAAACCAATATATCAAAGAGATAACTACACTCCCATGTTTATTGCAGCACTATCCACAGTAGCCAAAATATGGAATCAACCTAAGTGCCCATCAACGGATGAATGGATAAAAAATTTATGGTACATATATACGATGGAATATTATTCAGGTATAAAAACGAACGAAATCCTGCCATTTGCAGCAACATGGATGGAACTGGAGGCTATTATGTTAAGTGAAATAAACCAAGCACAGAAAGACAAATCTCACATGTTCTCACTCATTTGTGAGAGCTAAAAAAAAAAAAGTGAACTTCATGAAAATAGAGATTAGATTGGTGGTTATGAGAGGGTGGGGAAGGTAATGGGGAGAGGAGGGAAAAGAAAAGAAAGAATATAAATGTATTAATTACACTGATCTGTACACTTAAAATGGTAAAGATGGTAAATTTGTGTATTTTAAATACCTCAATAAAAAAATAAAAAAATAGTTTTATAGCACAAGGGCAGATATTCTTTGTTATTTTAGAAATGGCTTCTTGCCCTAGTTGGTTATTTCTGAAACTTTTTGAGTGGAAAAGAGCATAACTTTCAGTCTTTAAGGTGGCTGAAAATGGAAAAGTATTCATTTAGTTATTAATCTGTCTTGTCACATTGACTTTGATTGAAATTCTAGGTATATTTTGCTTTGAAAAAGATAATAGAAATTAAGAAAGTTACAAACCTGGAGACCTTCAGTAATGAAAAAGAAAGCCGATTCCATGTGTACCATATCTAAGAATAAATTGAGCTCTAATTTTAAAATAAGAGATATTAAATCATAGTATACATAATTTAACAGATACAGAATTACTCTTGCTACTGTAATCTTTTCACTGGTTTGTGATTAATTTGCTGATTTTGTTGTTAAGAATGTTCAGGTGTGTAAATCTTCTTGAGCAAGATATCTGTGATATAGGGAAAATGTTCATAGCTGTTTAGAATTTGGGTCCATATTTCAATGAATATGCTAGCTAGTCTTTTCTCTTTTAAATACAAGAATGTCCCTCTCTCCTTTTTAGAACAAAAAGAGCTTCTTTATCCAAATCTTCCTTTGGGGTCAGTATGCTGCCAATGCATTTATGTATTCCTCTGAAGTGTAGGATAAGAACCAATTCATCTCTTTGCCTACCTTCCAACCAACAATCACTTTGCAGTAATGAACAGAACAAAAAGTGTATGGTAGAATTATAGGATTGATGTGGGTTTGAATATTGGCTGTTTCCCTTACTGCCCAAAATCTTGGGGAAAAAAATCACTTAAATCTTTTAAGCTTTAGTTTCCTCAAATGTAAAATAAGACAAGAATAGCCAGCTTGCAAGGTTCTTTGGGGGTTGAGAGAGAATGTGGATTAAATGCCTAGCAGAGAGAATTTCTTTTCCTCTAAATTATTTAAATTTTATCTTTCTAAAAAAAAATGTGGTAAATGTTTTGTCAGATGTTCCTTTGATTGTAAACTACTTTCATTTTCCTTCTAGGGTTGACAACTTTGGCTTGGGCCTTTTACTTCAATCCAAGCAGATAAAACGTATGGTCTCTTCGTATGTGGGAGAAAATGCAGAATTTGAACGACAGTACTTAGCCGGTGAATTAGAAGTAGAGCTGACACCTCAGGTGCGATGATTTCTCTGCTTTTCTTTCACAGTGCTAACTTATTTAAAAATATCTCTTTTTCTCCCTATACATTTTTTGCGCAAGACAGGTAAGACAGAGGGAATGCTATTTTGCCAAGCCAAGGAATTTTGTTGATAAGTTACACCTGTTGATTGCTAGAGGGTTAATATTTTCTGCCACTGTGTACTGAAAAAGCAGGTTTCTAGTAAAAATTTCTAGGCTGCAAGATAAGACTTAAGTCTGGCACTATAATGTATGTTTTGTCAGAAGCATGCAGAAGGACTTGCTGAAATGTTTGAGAATTGTCCTAGAAGTCAGTTTCTGTGAATTGTAAATTAGAAATTTGTAAGTGATCTGGTCTTGGTAAGACACGTCAAGAGGCTGAAGTCCTTGAAGGGAAAACTGATTATATTACAGAGTAAGTGCTGGCATCAGAGCCCACGTTTCCAGGGAACTGATGTTATTACAAAGCAAACAGTTACTACAACTAATATAGTAAGTTTCTGCTCATCTCCTACATCATCTCCTAACTGACTGAAGACTTTGTCATAGAGAAAGGCAAACTTTTTGATGCTTTGGGTAAACCAAGGTCTACAAGTTGTCTGTGTTGGTCTTCATCTTGACTTGCTCAGCCCTCATCTCTGAAACTGAGCTACTCTGTTTTTGTCAACAGAAATGTTATTACCACTGACTTCACCAAGTTGGTGTGATGTAATATGGCAGAATTAAAAAAATTTTTTTTTCAGCAATTAAATCATGGTATATGCTTGTCTAGAGAGGACTGTTCTAGCTGACACTGTTCTGCCACACTGTTACAGTCACACCTGGTCGCTCTGCCGCACTCTCACCTGTGCTTATCATAGCATCACACTATGCTTGGTATTTATTCAATTTTCATTTAAAGTTATTTAAAAAAACTAAGATACACTGTCTCAGTCTGCTCGGGCTGCTATAACAAAATAACATAGGCTGGGTAGCTTAAACAGCAGAAGTTTATTTCTCACAGTTTGAGAGGCTGAAAGTTCAAGATCAAGGTTCTGGCCAATTCAGTGCCTGGTGAGGGCTGTTTTCTTGGCATGCGGATGGCTGACTTCTCCCTGTGTTCTCCCATGGCAGAGAGAGGAGGGGAAAGGGGGAGGGAGGAAGGACACTCACTTTCTGGGTGTCTCTTCTTATAAAAACACTAATCATACCAGATCAGGATTCCACCTTTATGACTTTCTTTAACCTTAATGATCTCCTTATAGGCCCTATCCACAGATAGTCACATTGGAGGTTCAGGCTTCAACATATGAATTTTAGGAAACACAGCTCAGTCCATAGCATATATTTTTTCTCTTCACATTGTAGGTTGAGATACTGTATCCTTTGGGTTGTGGAGCTATTGAAAATTAACCTTCCAGTTACCCCTTAACTTTTGTATCACCCCTTATTTTGTTGGAGTGCATATACATGGGAGAGGAACTTCCTTAATATTTCTCTTATATTCTTTCTTTGTCGGGTGAAGCTGAGGGGCTTGGTGGTACCTGCAAAGGTCCTGTCTGCAGAAATAGTCTACTTTCAGGCCCTTGCCTGGTTGGACAGAGAGAAGGAATAAAGTATTCTAGGGGGGTATATTTTAAAGTAGGGTGTATTACTATGGTCGTTTTGATGGTTTAATTTTTGTGAATGTTATTAACTTAACAACACAAGGTAGAGTCATCTCTGTCCATTAGATAGAATAGAGAACTAGTTATCAGGAAGATTTTCAGTTGTGCCCCAAGTACCTCCTTCCCCAGAATATTCCATCTACTTGAATGACTCAGTGTCTGAATTTTCAATTTTTAGTCTTTTCTTTAAGTATTTAAAGGTTTTAGTTAAAATAGAAAATAGTTTTTAGGTTGGGATAGTATGAACACACCATCATGAATACTTACAATACAATAAATACAATTCTTAACTACTAATTAACATCAGTTTTCTAGTGAAGTAGTAAGATTGTAACAGTAGGTTTCAATGTTAGGGAGGGTGTCAGAAAATGTTTAGGGTCAGAGTTGATCCCTTAGGGGCAATCTGGGTGGAAAGAGAGTTGGGGATGAGAGAGACGTAGGGAAACTAGGTTTGAAATCACTGGCACCTAGGAGGGAGACGGGTCATGCCATAGGAAAGAAGATCAGAAAAAAACACAAACTTTACTTGCAGCTGTTTCTACCCCGAAATAAAATTTGAAATTAGTTTATAGAAACCAGTTTACCTGCATGCTATACTTTTTGCTTAACTTTGGGTTTTTCTTCGTCAGATAATTTAGTAGATGAAATATTTATGAAAATGGTTTGAAATAAATCATAAAATTTGAACACTTTACATTATTGATGTATTGTTATTAATGATAAGATTTAGGCCATAGCTACATCTAGCATGCAGTAAAACACTGAATTTAATTATGTTCTTTAATGCACATAACTAAAGTTTCATAATTCAGATTTAAAAATTGATGTAAAATATTAAAAATAGACATATGTAGAACATGATGTCCAGAGACCATTGGGAGGGTATGGAAGCTAAACGCATGACTATACAAATAAGCAGATACATTTTGAATGTGGATTCAGTGTGCATCTAGAGGGGAAGTAACTTTTAAAAATTGATCTTCCAGCATACAGTATTAGTGAAATACACCAATATACAATGCTAGGTAATGTTTAGAATTAGGAGCCTCTGGAGAGTAGGAACCATGTCTATAAATGTTTCTGTGTTTACGTACAGACGTGTGCTTAGTGAACTTTTCATGGGGTGTTGGTTGCTCACTTGCAGGGCACGCTTGCAGAGAGGATCCGTGCAGGCGGGGCTGGAGTTCCTGCATTTTACACCAGCACAGGGTATGGGACCCTGGTACAAGAAGGAGGATCACCCATTAAGTACAACAAAGATGGCAGCGTTGCCATTGCCAGTAAGCCAAGAGAGGTAAGAAGCGCTCTCATCCAGTTAGCATCAGGATACCCCTTTCCACATGGGATTCTGGGTGCACTTGTTGGGTTAAATAAACATAAAATCACCTCTGTGAGAGAAAAAGCACTCATTCATTTTTGTAAATATGTTAGGCAAAATTTCTAGCTAAATCCAGGCATCTACTAGCAATTAAAATCACATAGAGAAACTAAATAAGAAAAGAAACTATAATCCATATATAATGTAATAGTCAAGATTAGCTATCTGAACTGAGATGGTAGGTTCTAACAAATATAGAAACATTTATAATTGCTGATTATACTTATGTGGAAAATAGAGTAGTATGATATGTATGGTAAACTCTTCATGCGCAAGCCCTACCTAATGTGATCACAGGAAGAACAAAATTTAGAAAATCTTAAGTTTGTCTGAAATCTTGAAAAGCAGAGAATAGTTATTATATAATAGAATAAATACAGAGTTCATATTATCACCTTTGTATTTTGTGTCTTAGACACACTTTGAGCTTTTGACTGAATAACCTAGTTTTATTTAAAGTGCTGGGTAGGATGGGGTACCTTTAAAGTAGGCAACTTCACTCACATATTAGAGAAGAGTAGAACTCCAGATACAGGTATTTGAAGTCTTTGGATTTGAGATAATTTCAAAAATTACACAGGTCAATGTTTCATTACTGTATTTTTTAGTATCTTTCCAATCTCCTTGTACAGATGACTCGAGAGTTAACACAGGTTGCAGAAATGCTGAGCTTATCTCTAGGGAAGTGAACATAGCAGATTGAGGAATCTCTTATCACTTCTCTGCATTTGGGATTGCTGGCTCTGCCCCTCCTGTTCTGAGGGAAGATGAGGGGTCATTGAACATGTCCTTTGCTGTTCGGTGTTTGTCTCCAGCCGCGTCTTCCATCTGGAACTTTGCCTTTCTGCTGAGAGTGACCTATATTGATTGAAAGCTTTTATTAACATATTTTTCAGATTCTTTCTTGCTTTTTGCCTTACTGCCTAATTAAATTTAAAAGGTATCTCCACAAAGTAAAAATAGGAGCCTAATTATTAAAAATGAATCTTAGTAGTAAGATAAAAGTGCCCAGAAAAATTGGGTTAATACTTTGATAACTTGCTAGAAGTTGTAGCATTAATTCACCCTAGGAAAATATAGACTAGAATCCTTCCTGGGTTCATTTCTGCTTGGAGTCAGGTGCATTAATTTAGTAGTGTTGTAATTTTGTCTGAATTTCCTAGGAATATGACAAATAATTTCTTGAAACAATTCTTCTTAACTCTTTATTTCCCTTGTTTAGTGTAGGATGAGGAAATGAGGGAATTCCTTAATTCACTGGTTTTTATTGAGGTCTAAGCACTACGTCCCCCTGCTAGTGGAGGAACTGACAGTGAATGAATAAACACATGATGTCCATAGTGGGAGTGTTGTGAAGAAAAGTTGAAAAGAGAGTCATCACTGGCTCAACACCAGGCAGATGGTGTTTCACATTGGTCAGGATAAGGTTCACTGAGCAGGTGAAATTTGGTAGAGGCCTGAATAAGGTAGGAGAATGAGGCAGGTGGAGATCAGAGGGTTGTGCTTTCATCAGAAGGAATAGGAAGTGCAAGGTCCTGAGGCAGCTACAGGTTTGTCCTGTTTATGGAACAGCAGGGGGTGAGAATGAAACAGAGTACATGAGGCAGAGTGATAAGACTGGAGACTGAAGAGGGGCAGGAGCCAGATCCACACAGAATTCGGATTTTACTGAGTGTGGTGAGAAGCCAAAAGAGAGTTTTGAATAAGGGTGGAAGAATGATGTGATCTGGATTGCATTTTGTAAAGATCACGGTAGCAGTTGGGTGGTGAGTTTTTTTTTTTTGTAGAAGACCAAGAGCAGAAGCAGCAAGAGAAGTTAAAGGGCTGTTGTGTTAATCCAGGTAGGAGTGGAAGGTGGTTCAGGCTAAGGTGGTAATGGTGGAGTTTGCGAGAAGTGGTTGGAATTGGGATATATGTTGATAGTAGAGCCAACAGGGTTTGCTGATGAATTAGTAGTGAGGTGTAAGAGAAGAATCAAGTAGCAAAGAGCTCTGTGTTGGACATGGAGCATTTGAGATGTCCGTTAGACTCAAGAGGAGGTGCTCAACAGGCTCCAGTCAGGGGAGCGTTTAGGCCAGGACAGGGACTCTGGAGGCATCAGCATATATTTAAACCTAAGGACATGGGAAAGAGTGACTAGTAAGAAAAGAGGAATCCCTTCACCCCCAGTCTACTGATTCGAAAGAGAAGGGAAGTTTTAAAAAGCAAGGAGTGATCACCTGAGGGGAGTGATCAACTGCATGGAGAGGTCCTGTAATATAAGAACTGGAATTGACCGTTGGATTTGCCAAAAATGGAAGTCATTGGTAACCTTAAGGAGTGTTTTTTCTGGAATGAAAAGATGAAAATCTGATTAGAGTGGATTCAACAAAGAACCAGTAAGGAGGAAGTGGTGACTGTGTAACATGACCCTTTCAAGTGAGTATAATAGCCAGTTTGACAAAACCAATTCCTTCCCCATTTTTACATTTTAGAATAGTTGACACTCAGCAACAGCTGGTACGTAGACCCATCAGGAAATTATATAATTGGAATATAAGAGAAAAGCCAATTTCCTGACTTTATCCTGCATTAGCATGTATTTATTCTAGTTTTCCAGTTCTGTGTGTAAAATAATCAGCTAGCATTTAGTGATGATTTTGAAATACATAAGCCATTGAAAAATCCCTTTGTATATTGATAGGAAGCTTAGAAATATCTTTCATATAATTTATCTAAGTTCATGTTGCTAAGATCGTCATTCATCAGTGAATTCTTAAGTGCATTAATCTTTCCCAGCAGGAAACTTGTCCTTAAAGAAGTTTTTCTTCTTCTTCTTCTTCTTTTTTTTTTTTTGAAGAAGCTTTTCTTTAAGAAAGGATTTCTGTTTTAAACCAATAAATGTACCAAAACTTTGTATGGAGGGTTTCTGGACAATGCATTGCGTCTGGTTGTCCACTAGGGGATGCAGTAGGAATGAGAATGGAGTTCGCCTTCAGATGGCTCCATCTTGCTCAGCGATGGAGTGCGGCAATCGACGTTGTTTCCTTTCCCCTCTGGTTTCATTCCCAGAGATAAATCCCCAAGAGAAAAAAAGGAACATGATGCCAAGGCACAGTTTTGCTTTATGTTCTTACCCCCAAAATTCATGGACTTAAATGTCAATAAACATAAACAAAAATCAATAGCATTCCATTAGACAAGTAATGTAAGAAGAAAAGATATAATAAAATAAAATGTAACATGCATAGTAGCAAGAGAAACCATGAAGTACTTGTGAATAAACTTAAGGAAAAAAAATACAAAGATTTTATAGAGAAAACGATTAAACTATTGAAGGAGGTGGAAGGAAACTCTGGTAAATGGAGGCATGTGTTGTGCTCCACGGTGGGAAGATATGGCATGTCAGTTTCCTCCAAATTATATGAATTTGGAGGGAATTCATATGATTTGGATTTCTAATTATATGAATTCCACTTAAAACTTTGACAGGTGATTTATAAATTATAGATTAATGAGAGATGAATGGATTTTTATAACTTTTGTGTATGCAAACAATATATAGGCCATTTCATGCAAATTATATAGTTTTTTCTCAGATGGAGAGAGAGACTATTTTTCATGTTCAATAACCAATACACATAAATAGTAAAATGGATATTAACACACATAGTCTATGCTTCAGGCTTGTAGAACATTTAGTTCCTCAAATGCACCAAGCTTTCTCTTGTCACTGGGCGTTTTGCACATCTGTTCCCTCTGCCCCCCCATGACCACTTGGACTAAGCCCTAGCTGCACTATACTGTTTATCCTTAAAGTTTCTAAGGTTCTTTTCCCTCTGAGAAACCTTCTCTCACTAGGCTTGTATCCCTATTATTGGCCTCTACTAGAGTGTGTATCACAAGCAAACAAGACCTGTGCAAATACCTGACAATGCCCCCTTTTCTTCTGCAGGTGAGGGAGTTCAATGGTCAGCACTTTATTTTGGAGGAAGCAATTACTGGGGATTTTGCTTTGGTGAAAGCCTGGAAGGCAGACCGAGCAGGAAATGTGATTTTTAGGTATTGTAAGCGTTTTAAAAAATATTAATGTAATGCATGTTAGCAACTTTATATTTCCTAAAAATTCATTTTGGAAGTGGCTTAAGATCATACACACCCACACGTATGTGTATGTGTATTGTGTGTGCAGGTTTGCTGCTATGCAGTCTTGCTGGTATGGTGTGCTTGTGGGAGTCGGTTCAGACTGGCTGATGTCCTTGTTGTACTGCTTGTTAAATATTTAAATCTATGTACTCTTGTACATAGTCACATTGTCAGTTGTTTTTCTCCCTGTGTATTTTAGTTGCCAAGTCTAGTTACATGCTTAAAAAAACATGACAACACAATTTTATTTTATATATTACAATATCAAAATTTAAGACAGTAATTACATGTACTGTCTTAAAATGTCAAAGTTACTTTGATATTCTGAAAAGATATTGCTAATAATCATTTAGATCAGTGCTTTTCAGTCCTATAAGTATTTCCTAGGAAATGCATAGAAAGTTCCATCTGAAAAATTGATTAACCTTAAAAATGTTTAACTTTCATTTTCATTATCTGGATAGCCACAGGCTTTATAGATTTTAAAATCTTTTGATTATTCTAGGCATACCAAGTATTTAGTATCTAGGACTTAGAGATTATACAGTTGTTTTTGAAAATTATGACACCTTTGAGTATACACTCAAGAGTTTTCCAAAATTTTTGGTCTTGAAGACTTTACCTATTAGGTTATAGAAATCATTTTCCTTCCCATAATGTTGTCATTTGCTGCGTTTAATTAGCAATTTTTTAATCTTTAGCAAATGCACCTTTGATGTAATCACAATGAAATTCTCAGTGACACTCTTATATTGCTTTTGTTTATTCCTGCAGGACTTATGTGAAATTAATACTGTATTTGATTTCTTGAATTTAGCCAGTTTTTTAAAGTACAACTAATTTTGGTAATTACAGAAGACATTTTACATTATCTCTTTCTGTAATGTTTGCAAATGCTTAGTTGCTTTTTAAAAGAGATTAATGAAATTATATACTATCAAATGGAAATTAATTATTTAAAATATTTCCACGAGTTCCTCCTGTGCTCCACTGCCTGGCTCCAGTATCTAAAGAATGCACAAGGGCTATTTTTTTTTTTTTTTTGAAACAGAGTCTCACTCTGTTGCCCAGGCTAGAATGCTGTGGCATCAGCTTAGCTCACAGCAACCTTAAATTCCTGGGCTCAAGCGATCCTCCTGCCTCAGCCTCCCAAGAAGGGCTATTCTAAGCACCAGCTTTATGCTGGTGGTTATTGAACTCTGGTATGAAATGAAAGCTCTCATTACCAATGCTCAAGGGACCGAGGACTACCTTTGTGTTGAGTGGGACAGCTGGTACAGAGTCTATCTAGGGTGTTGTTACAGTGGGGGAGCCTGGGAGTCCTTTGCCTCTGACACTCTGTCCTTGGAGGTTTTGGTGCCTGGACATCTGGTGGAATCCAACCCAGCAACTGTGAAAGTTCGTAAGGGCTTCTTTTTCAAGGACACTCCTATCCTTGTACCCATCCTTGAATCCAAGCAAAGGAAATATTGGTGGCCTAAAAGAGCTGGTAAGACATAGCTGTGACTTACATCCTTCTACCAAAGAAATTCTTCTATGAGCATATACTCCCAGAAACAAAAATACATTTTAATTTTTATGGTTAGCGCAAGTGTATTGAGTAATTCCGGGATGTAAAATCATCAGCAAAATTGCCACCTTCTTGAAAGTTTTACACCTCAGGGTCTGATGTGGGTGTTGTACTTTCAAAAATTTCATCAGAAAATGGTTCTCCAGAATGATCTTTATAGGTGACTCACAAATTACCAAGGAATGTTTCATTTAATTTCAGCAATAGGCCTCTCTTTAATAGAGAATGTAATTTCTATACCTTTTCATGTGAAGCCCTTGCTACTTTTCCTTTCTTAATATTTTAATGAGAGCAAGTTGTTGAGTGAAATATTTAACCATAGAAACAAAGTAGTATATCAGTTAAAAGATTAAGGGAAACTCACTTCAGGTGGGATAGATTTATTAATATCCATTTTTTATGTATATATTGAACATGAAAAATAGTTCCTCTTTCCTCAACCCTGTTTAAAAAAAAGAAACCTATATAAATTGAATGAAGTGGCTATGATTTTTTTTTACTTTATGAGATAGTTGTAAAACTTCACTAATGGAAACTATGATATGCTCTTTTCACGAAGATTCTTAGATTCTTAGTTCATAGAAATTATTTTAATCTGTACAATTTATTCTAATCTATACAATTTTAAAGCTGAAAGAGGTGCTTATTTTTGTTGTCTTTCTCCACTTCTTATCTCCCCACCCCTAATGCAGGAAAAGCGCGAGGAATTTCAACTTGCCGATGTGCAAAGCTGCAGCAACAACAGTGGTGGAGGTAAGAGAAGAGCTTATTTCTGAATTCCTGGTGTTAATTTTTTAACTCGATATCATATATTCAAGAAAAAGCACAACAGTTCATTTGTTTTCCGGAGAGCAAACAATGACTGTTTTTTTTGTTTCGGAAATAGAGTGATTCTATTTAAATATATAATGATTGAAATTTTGCTGCAGTGCTGGTTTTCTGGTTAGCTAGGGTCTCTCTGCAATGCTGTCTCTGTTAATCAAGCCATGGGACCAGCTTATAAAAGTCCTTTGGTCCTTGAATGATATAGACCTTCTTGGGTGAAATCCAAAGTTGAATTTATGTATATAGAGTACTAGGAAAATAATAAATTCTGTCAGGAGAAGTTCATTATTTTCCTGTGGTAGATACTGAATTCTTTAATGGAGGAGAGTAGTACAAATAATTGCTTTGATGTTGCATTCGGAGCTGTTGAATTCAGGCACTAACTGACTGTCCTTTGGGCATCTCAGTGTTTGGGAGAGGCTTGAATAATTCTGGAGCCTTCCTAGGGTTAGGGCTCTGGGGTGGAAATAGGTGCTTATACAAAAACCCTGCCATTTTGGTTATGCATATTTGAACCTCAAAGAAGACTTCAAATGATTCTCGAGTTGAGGCTTTGAGGATCATCTTGGAGCCAAATTTTAATGGGAGTTTGAGGTAGCTTTCCCTCAGGAGTGCTTTATAGGATGCGCCCCTTTTGTGATCTGGTAATGAGATTATATATTCCCGATTTTTCATATGTTGTACGTGGCATCTTTTGATTCGTCATACCAAGATACTGTTTCGTGGAGGCAGTACAGTGTGTTTTTGAAACAATCGAATGTTAGAGTTCTGTTCTGCTCTTGTAAAGTGTATTATTTTGAAAGTGCTGAGGGATGTGGTACTTTTGACCTAGGCATGGTGGTTTCTTTTGCAATTACTTTAGTGTATTTTGTGCATTTAAAATGGGTAATATGGTTTATTCTTTGTGATCTGTTTTTTATTTATTGAATCATCTTCATGACATGTCCATGGCACACATCTGTAGCATTAGTGAAGAAAGGCCTATAACATAGCTGAAGATAATCAATAGTTCAGCACTACTGATTTTATGTACTTCTGTAAAACTACCAGAAACCAATATTTATTCCCTGAGTACAGAAGGGCCTTATGCATTATCCTGGGTGAAGTTCTTTTAAATTTTTTTTCCTACTACAGTCTAATTCTTTTCAGCCAAACTTACTTTTTATAGGAGCAGAAAATGACCTTGTAATGTCCAGAATCGTAGATATTAGAAAAGAGAGGCTCCTTTTGGCATAAGGGGGAAGCAAATCCTCTAACTGAGCCTGCAAATCTATTAATAATAAAGGCTGCCCTTCTCTGTCCTGGAACAGAAATCTCTGATCTATCACAGAACTCTTTCCTGGTAGGCCCAGAAGCAGCACATTAGGATCCCTTTCAATACAGTGCTGCAGATAGCCACTCCCAACTGACTGCACTCTCCAGTGTGGGAGCCACTAGCCACATGTGACTTTTAAAATTTAAATTAATTAAAATTAAATAAAACGCAAATTCAATTTCTCAGTTGTGCTAGTCTCATTTCAAGCCCTTACTAGCTACGTGTGATTAATGACTACTGTGTTGCTCTGCACAGACATAGAATATTATCATTTCAGGAAGTTTTACTGTACAAAGTTGGATTAGAAGGATCGAGAAGAAATCTGTATGTCATTCTAGTTTAGCAACATGAGCAAAACAGCTGTTTAGACAATAGGATTATTGGAAGTCTACCCACTTTGTATGATCATAGTAGAGGGTTCCACATACCCATAGATTGAGTTCTAAGAATTGTGCTCTCAAAAGTGGAAAATAATTTGGAATTGGGGATGGTGCCTAGATTGGGCATTTTCTGATATGAAAACTCTGTTTTGACTTTGTGGCTTTTGTATTATTCTGAGTCTAGTGAGTACCTTGGCCGTCTGGCTCCCTTGTTCTGTGCTGTGCTCTATGCATGCCATTTCCTGCATTGGCCTCCAGGGTTCTGTGATTCTTCTCTTTTCTAGCCCTATCTTGCTTTATTTTATGGTAGTCCTGGTGGGATGAATGATTATGAGCTGGTCTCTGAAATGTAGCATTTAAGAAAAATCTTCAGAGATTATTAAGTTATCTGCATATTCTTCTGCATGCTAAATATTAATAATAATAGCCACCATGAATCAAGCATTTATTATGTATGATAATGCCATATTCTTTATGTGCATTATAATTTTTTAATTCTCACAATAGTCCTGCAAAGAACCATAATTATCCTTATTTTTCAGATGAGGACTGTAAAGCAGAGAGAGGTTAAGGGATATACCTGATGTCACACAGCTAGGTAGAACAAGGATGGAACCACAGAAAAACTGATCCAGGGTGTCTGCTTTTTTCCATTGTCATGAAATGTTTCCATATCATGTATAAATGATGACATTTCAAATTCTTGAAAGATGTTGAACCTCCAGAGGTAGTTCATTTCAATCCTATTAGCATCAAGCAGATAAGGAAATTTTTTGCTCAACTTATTCTTCTATCCAGGGCTTTTCTTGCCAGTTATTCTGATTGTAGTCTTTTCTTCTTCTAGTATCATCGACCTTAGAGATGGCTTTGAGAAAAGCATCATCCTGTGATCAATAGCCCTATGGATTCATTCAGTTTTTCTCTTGGATTCTTTTCATTCTGTTGTATAGCCTCTTTGATCCTTGTAGCTTTTCACATATTTCCCTAAACGTGATGACTGGATGTCTGTTCTAGGGCTGTAATATCTTCAGCAGTGGGTACTATAACAGTAACTACATCCTATATTTTAGACAAAGACTATATTTTTTAGAACTCTTCAGCTCATTTTCTTTCCCTTAGAGATAAGGGAATGGAGGACTTTTCAGTTGTTGAATCTGGGTAAGAGCCTGTCTTCTGAAGCTCCAGGCCAGCATCTTCCTGCTCCACAGCGCTGCATGCTTTCGACCTTTCTTCTTGTTTACTTGAGTTTTAAAACTTGGGTTTTAAGGTGGATAGAATGATAAATGTCTAAAATATCAATGATAATTCCCTTAAGCATCTTAATTTTTTTTTTAATTTAAAATAAGGGTGGCAAAGGAACGTCCAAGCTACCTGTTGCTTTTTTCCCATTTCTTCTTTAATTATGTAGTAATTAATTTACAACAAGTGTTTTATGTCAAGAAATAAAGCAGTATGTTTGTCTTGGATTATGAAGAGAAAATCACATTTGCTCTTGACATTAATTATTTCTAGTCTCTGTAAAGGAGGAACATTAGTCTTTTTTGGAAAAGTTTTTCCTCTCGGATGTGTTCTATGCAAACTTATGAGTTGTATAAAACCAAAGAGGTGATCTATTATGTCAGTTTTAATAAAACCACTGTAACTATTACATTCGTATTTCTTGAAACTTGCAGCCATTTTCGTGTTTCTCCACAAAGTTGAGACATAGTCAATGCTGGCTGTATCTTTCTCCCCATCTTATGGAACTGGGTAGTTGCTTAGGAAAAATAGTACATGGGGGTGCACATGTTGGCACACATGCCAGAAAGATGTTTCTCTTTTTAGCCCAGACAGTGTTATTTCTGGACCTCTCTCTCTTTGAGTGGGTGAAGTCTTCCCCTGATAAGCTTTGCAAGTTTAAGTGCAGAACCCGCCAGGGAATGACTCTTGGGCGTTGAGTTACATGTATATGACAAGGAGCAGTGAAGACTGTTGACTCTTTCTCTGGAGGAGTCTTGTTGTCTCATCAGCCTCTCAGCTGCCCATGAGGCCCTCTGCCAGTCTCCTGTGTACGCATCCCACCACCCTGGGTCTCTTTGGGAAGTGGCCTGTTTCTACTTATTTTTTTTTTTTTTTCTTTTTGGGAAGGAGCTTATGATAGAAAACCTAGGGGGTGGAATGAGAGTGCTTCACTCAGGAGACTGTTGATGCTTTGTCTCCTGCAAGCAGCCTGGCACGCATGTGCTGTCAGGAAAGGTCGTCTGACTCAGCCAACTGAAGGCTGTTGCGGCTGCCTGCGACTGAAATAACCTGGCTGGTTTGGTTTTCTTTGTGCTGTCAGGCTTGTGCCATGACTGGTGCTTTAAGACAGCAAAAGTTTATACAAGGTCCCTTCAGCTATTTTAGCTAATTTCTACATTCAGTTAAAATAAGTATATTTATTATCATGACTTAAATAAAATTATTATATTTATACTATGGTATATTTATGGACTTGCCTATGAAAGAATTGGCTAGATTATATGGTGTTTGATGCACACAAATATTATTTACATGTAGCCCCTGTGGTTTATGAAGCATTGTAATAAATGGAACACCTGTGAACCCACCTGATATAAGAATTAGAGGGTTACTCATGCTCATTTCCTTCCATCTGCCTCCCCACCAAAGATAACCACTATCAGGAATATTGTGTTTATCAGTCTCTTGCTTTAAAAAAAAAATCTGGATTGTAAGGTATAGACATATGGAAAATTATTTTCCGAAGTGAAATCCTAAGAGCCAGGCTTTGGGAACTGTGACTTCTGTGTTCTCTACCACTGTCTGGCACATGACATTTCCTCTTAGGAGATTAATCAGAGGAAAAGATTAACCAGAGGGTACATCTTCCATCCTGCCAAGCAGATGTGTTGTTTCTGGTTGGTGGATGAATAAAGGTGAAGATTACACTGCAACTGATAGTACAGATTTTTGTTTTTAATGTTTATTATGGAGGATGATGAACATACACAACAGTAAGCAGAGAACCCGGCTCCAATGACTTTCAAACCATGGTCACTCCTACCCCACCCACATCCCCGTGTCCTCTCCGTCTCCCTCCTCCTGTATTATTTTGAAACAAGCACCAGGTAAATTGCAATGACATTTTAAGGAAAGTTCGCTGATATCAGAAGTTCTAGTGTACCAGGCACTTTTCTAGGTTCTGGAGATACAGCAGCAGAGCAGAAAAATCCTTGCCCTCAGATGTTCTGATGGTGTATCTTGATACCACATCAGATATTGCTAAATGTTAAGGAGAAAAAAATCACGAAAAGGGACATGAAATGTCAGGAAAAGGGAATTGAAATTTTAGATAGGGTCGTCTGTAAAAGCCCTCAGTGAAATGAGTTCTGAGTAAAGACCTCAAGAAAGTGAGGAAACTAGATTTGCAGCTGAGCGGGAGCGTGGCGGAAGGAGTAGCGCGTGTAGAGGCCCGAGGCAGAGCGGCCGTGGTGGGTTTGGAATATAAGAGTGGCACTCTCCTCTCTAAAGTGCAAGGTCATAGGCTGAGGAGGCTTACGTGATAGTAGCTTTCTTGAGAGTAATGGCAATATTCTCTTCAAGGCTATGTGAAATACGATTTCTATTTTTAGTGCGTTTTATAATGGTTCCCAGGAGATGATTAAGCCTAAATATGACATTAAAACTCTGAGGTGAATGGAGAATGTGATTTTGAGGTTGGAGTCTCCTGGCATTTGTGACACTCTGGCCTTGTTTGCAGAACTTTGTGTTGATACTGTCTGATGAATTATCTTAGCAGAAATGATCAAACTGGTTGTTATTTCACTTTACAATAGAAGGTGGGAACATAGTGGATTTTAACCAGGTGACTTAATCACTTCAGTGGATCCCGTGAACATTTAATCTTCATTAAGCAGGCCAATTATTGTATCGGTGTTTTAGAGACTTTGGCTTTCTTGCTTACTGCTTTAGAGAAATTGAAAATGCCTAAGGGATAAACATAATTTCTTTCCTCTTACGTTTCTTTTATTCTTAATCTTTATATTGCTAATGGCTTATGATATACATTTCAAAATCAGTAGAACTCATAATTTTTTTAAGAGGCAGTAAAAAGAAAAAAACCTGGTATAAATAGCTAAAAAATGAAGCTTCTAGCCATATAAGACAAATACTTCAAACCATGTTGAAAAACTTCATTTGACAGATCCAGTTTCAAACATACACATCCATACCTAGGCAACTATTGCTCATGCCTGTGTGTGATTCATTCACACAGACATCTCTGATTGACATGTGGAGACATGATATTTATGAGAACTTGGCTGAAATGTCAAATTTGACATTCACTGGGTGAAGCTTAGTATGCTAAATGTAGTATTTACCTGATAAAACTCTCTAACAGAATGAGGTCAGCAAAAACCAGTTTATCCCAAAACTCTTCAATCTACCCACATGGGCCAGTTGAGTTGAACACTTGACACAAGTTCTTTAACAACAAAGAAAAAAGGGAAGAGAGCTATTTGATACAACATGAAAAGAAGGAATACCTTCCTCCCACCAACCTGCCATGAGCCTTGAGAACCCTTGGTCCTAAGGTGGAATACCTTCTTAAGTGTTCACTTTTGAGATGGATGTGGTAAGTGATGGATATTGTTCACAGCGTTGATTTTTAGACCTGTTAAGTTGTGTAATATCTTCAATTTACATTTATTTTCCTTATGGTTTTTCAGTTATACAATTTTATTCATGCTTTTAGAAATATCTGTAAATCCTATGCTACAAATTTAGCCAGGTATAGAATGCTTTGACAGAAAAGATGGTAATATCCTAACATAACTACACTAAATGAACTGATTGTTTCTACTTGCTTCAAAGTATTGAAGTACTTAAAGACAACTCATTCATTTCCTTAAATGTTCATGAAATGCTAGATTGATATGAAAATATTTAGATGCTAATGAAGATGTATTTAATGAAGACATATTGTAGTTGAATAGTTTGGCAAAATAACCTCAGTTAACAGAATTAAAGTTATGTTAATATTTTCTGTTTCTACCAAGGAGGCAGTAAAAATAAAAATATGGACTTGGTGAATGCCCAGTGTTAACTTATGCATTTGTTTTTTGAATACTCTTATAGATTACTAAACATAATTCTTAGCCTAATGACCATAATACACCCAAAAGAATAGCAGAATAGAAATACGGTTTATTGATGATAAAAATATATTAAACAAAGTGCTAATCTTGACATTTTATATCTTGTTGCTTGGTAACAATGCTGCAGCTATGTGAGAGAGTTCCATTATCTCAGGTACAATGGACTTCTTTGCATTAGAGGGTAGAAATGCCAATTACAGCAAATCATTTGTATGCCATTATCCTCACAAAATTTTGGTGCTATTTCTTATTGTTAGTGCAGAAATCCAAAAAGAAAGTCATTTTAATAATATATCCTCCTTTTTTTTGATGGATTGGTAAATTTTATTCTAGCTATTTTTGGCTTTTTGACTTTGTATCTATGTAATTTTTGAGGCTTCACAAATTTGTGTTTTATCAACCTGTACTATATAAATGTAGGCTTTAAAATGTCATTGTAAATATGCACATTATAAGTGATGCTTCATTAGTTCTTATTGAGCATCTTTTATCTTTGCCCACCTAGGCAGGGGAGAAGAAATATCTGGGCAGAATTTTTTGCCTCATGAAAAATAGTTAGGGCATATTCCTCACCCTTCTCTAATACAGAACTTTCCTAATTTTAGTGCCTACTTCAGGAGATCAGTAGACAGAAGCCTTTTGAACTAGTGTGATTTGTTTTAAATGAAAGGCTGAGTCATGTTGTATATAACGGTATTTTTCCTCTATGCCATTAGTTCATAATTATTATTATTTACAGCAAAGGTTGACAAAATACAGCCTGTGGCTTGGTTTTGTACTGCCTAAGAGCTAAGAATGTTTTTATAGTTTCAAAGGGTTGTTCAAAAAGAAAAAAAAAATATTGTGAGGAGGGGAGCCAAGATGGCTGACTAGAGAGACAGCTTTTTGGATCATCCCAGCTGGAAGGTAGAATATTGGTCTGAGGAAAGTGGAGAGCAGTTGCAGCTCAGGTGGATCACACGGAGAGACAACAGAGATATCTGGAGACCCAACCGAGAAAACTACAAAACTGAGAGAGAAGAAGATAGAGAAGAGAAGACGGCAGGCGCAGTCCAAACGCAGAGAGGCTTAGAACCCAGTGAAAGGGCAAGGGGGGCTTCTCCTCACCCACCTAGGTACCTTCAATGAGCATCGGACATAGAACATTTTGGAGGCATTTCCACCCTCCATGAGCGCAGGCACTGTGGCTACATAGGAATAGTGGGGTCAACCATTATCTACAGGAGTTTGGGTATTCAAAAGGCACACTTTTCAGGAGATTTCCAAGAGAGATTGGAGTACTGGCTCTCTTACACCTGGACACTTCCTCCTCTGCATCCCCTCCAATCTTGGCATTAAAGAGAGTAATTTTAGCTCTTGGGCTGGCTGGTAGCCGCAGCCCCTCCTCCCATTGCAACCGTGAGAATACACTGAACCAAGTAGCACAGGAACAGCTGCGACGTCTCCATGGCAGGTGCGTGTTACTGGCCGAGCCAACCACTGAGAGCCAGGTCACTGCAATTTGCGAGCTTCCTCCTCACGGGTGTTTCAAGGGATCGTGCACTGGTGGCTTAGGTGAGCTAAAACCGGTATCCCTCCCATCACGAGAGTGGTGCAAAGAGACCACAGGGGAGAGATATCAGTCCCAGACATGGATGGCAAGGAAGCTGTCATGGACATATCCAATGGTAGAGTGTAGAGGGGAGCTGAGGAACGGGGCTCTGTGAGTGTACCCATCCCCCACCCCTGCTGGAGAGCCACCATACTGGATAGGGGTGTAGCATTTGGAGTGAATTAACAGAGCCCCTGGTTCCCATGACAACTGAATGCCTTGGGTGTGCTAGCTGAACAGGAGCTCTCCCCCTACTCATTACATTATGGAGTGCAGCCTGAGCCAAGAAATGTATGAGTGGCCATCTCTCCCAGGCAGGAGCATGCCCCTGGCAGAGGTCCCCATGGTCAGATAGGCCTACTTCTATCCCCCTGTGGTCTTGTGGTGGAACAGGCATGCACAACTGGGGCTCCTCCTACTTGCTAGTGTCCTGCAGAGATACATGTTAATGGATCAGACAAATTGGACTGAGGGGTAGTTTGAGAGCTGGTCTTGGACAGTGATGGGAGAGTGCCGTGGAGTTACAGGGAGTGAATAGGGAGGGTGCCGACCCCACCCCACAGAGAAACTATGCTAGTGGACAAGAGTGGAAAGATCCTGGCCCAAAGCCTTAGATCTCAAGAGATTAGGCCGCTTTCTCGGGAACAGCCTACTGGGCTTGGAGAGATTGCCCTGAACTTCATCCTGGCAGATCCCCTTGGGGCCAGGTAAGCAACCTTTGCGACCCACCTAGGCCCTGCAAAGTCTCTCTGGCTCTTGCAATCCAGCCACAATTTGTCTTGCTCCTACCCCCACCTCAAGGAGTAGTGACCAAGCAAACCCCTGGAAGCTACAGGGTTCCTTCTAAAGCTTGGGGCATTCATATGCCCCACCTGGGGGACCAGAGCTTACCATGGGCACAAAAGACCCTCTTGGCAGCTGACTCTTTCATGCAAACATCAGTCAATACAGGGAGAACAACCCCATAGCTAAACAGAGCACCTCCAACTCAAGCACTCAGGGAGTGGCTGATTCGTACTCACAAGTACCACCCACCATCACCGAGATTAAGCTGGGAGACCTATTCACTACACACTGTTGGGAAGAGGTGAAGATAGCAGGTCAGAATAACCAGAGAGATACACCTAACCCACTATAACACCCCATAGGCAACTCAGGACTGGCCCTCCTCTCCCTGACACACTCAGGGATTGATCTTCGGGGACCCAGAGACAGGCCTATAAGTCAGGCCTACTACCCCCAGGTCTTCACCGAGAGGCCAGATGAGAAGGAATCAGTGAAAGAACTCCGGAAACATGAAAAATCAGAGTGAAAGGATACCTCCGAAAGAAAACAACCCCTTATCAATGGATACCAAGCAAAAGGAAAGGAATGAAATGACAGATAAGAAATTTTGAATATGGATTGTAAGGAAGCTCAATGAAATACAAGAGAAAATAGAAACCCAACATGAAAAAAAACACAAAAACAATGTGGGAAATGAATGAAAAATTTACTAAGGAACGCGAATTATTAAAAAAACACAAAAATTCTGGAAATGAAAAATTCACTTAAGGAAATACGAGACACAGTGGAAAGCCTTAGGAATTGGCTAGATCAGCCAGAAGAAAAAATCTCAGAGCTTGAAGACAACACCTATGATGTAAACAAGTCAGTCAAAGAGAAAGAACCGAGAAATAAGAGGAACAAACAAAACCTAAAAGAAACATGGGATTGCATAAAGAGGACGAACATAAGAATCATAGGCATCCCTGAGGACAAAAAAGAAAATACACAAGGTTTGGAAAACCTATTTGAGGAAATCATTGAGAAAAATTTCCCTGGCCTTGCTAGAAATCTAGATATCCAGGTACAAGAAATTCAAAGGGCCCCTGGGAGATTTATCATGAAGAGGTGATCAACATGACACATAGTAATCAGACTGGCCAAAGTAAACATGAAAGAAGCATTCCTTCTAGCTGTAAGGCAAAAACATCAGGTAACTTACAAAGGAAGACCCATCAGACTAACTGTAGACTTCTCAACTGAAACCTTACAAACCAGAAGGGATTGGGGCCCCATTCTCATTGTACAAGAACTAAAAGTAGACCTACCATTTGATCCAGCAATCCCACTACTGGTTATTTACCGAAAGGAAAAAAGACATTTTATAAGAGAGGCACTTGCACTTGAATGTTTATAGCAACACAATTCACAATTGCAAAGATGTAGAAATAGCCGAAGTGCCCATCAGTACATGAGTGGATTAATAAAATATGGTATATGTATACAATGGAGTACTACTCATCCATAGAAAATGGTGAACTAATATCTTTTGTAACAACCTGGATAGAACTGGAGACCAACCTTCTAAATTAAGTCTCGTAAGAATGGAAAAATAAATACCACATGTATTCACTATTGGAACTGACTGATCAACAGTCATGTGCACATATAGTAGTAAAATTCAATGGAATTCATACAAGTGGGAAGGGGAAGGAGGGGAGTGATCAGTTCATTCCTAATGGGTACAATGAACACTCTCTGCATGATGGACACACTTATAACTTTGACTCAAATTGTACTAAAGCAATTCACGTAACCAAAATGTTAGTATCCCCATAATATTCTGAAATTTAAAAAAGATAATCTTAAAAAAAAAGGTTTGTAACAGTGTGTAGCCCTCAAAGCCTGAAATATTATCAAGTCCTTTACAGAAAAAAGTTTTCAGATGCTTGATTTACAGCATCATTTCCATTTCTGTAGTATGTATATATTAAATCACTCAGTATTATGTCTTAAAGGACAAATGAATTTAAGTAGAACTGAAATAAAATAATGATGACTGGTTTGGAGAGAATCAATGAAAAACTAAATAGAATAATATAAATTTGTGTAGATGTAGGAAATTGACTGTGCAGTTTGGTAGGCCTGCCTTTGAGGCAGCCATGAAGAGAGGAAGACTATGTACAGCTATTTGTTTATCCAGCTCTAGTTGCTCCAGTTGTTAAAAAATCTCAGGGTCTTTGTAAATAAATCTGACCTAAATGTGACATAATTACATATCAATAGGCTCATTTTATTTTAGAAGCATCTTGTCTATTTGACTTATCTCATACTTGAGAGCCGGTTTCTTGCGTGTACAAATGCACAGACTTGAGTGGTGGAGTGTTGGTGGGGAGGGTAATGGCATTGAGAGATACAGTATTTTGGAAGAGGAATCTATCTGACTTGCTCATGCCTTGGATGTGGAATGCTGGAGTAGAGGAAAGGTAGAAATTAAAATGACTCCTGCACCTGGGTTGAGCAATAGCGTATCACTTACTGAGATGGGGAACCCTGGGAGGAACAAATTTTGTGGGAGGTGGGGATATGGAATAAAGAGTTCTGCTAGGATTGATTGGCTTTCTAGGCATTCATGTGGTGATGTTGCATCTGCAGAAGGACATGTATGTGCAGTGCTCCTAAGAAAGGTCTGGAAGGGAGTTATGCATTGGGAATAATCCATATGTATTTGATGAGTTAGGGTTATGGGATGGAAAAGACCACTTAGGGTAAGAAGTCCTAGGAGTTAGTCCCAAAGAGTCTCATGTCATTATATTTTCTTTTTCATTTTCTGTGAACAGAATCTGAGATTAAGAATCATATCTTTGCCTCTCACTAGCTTCGTGACCTTGGACAAATACCTTATCTTTAAAACTCCAGCTTCCTTACAACATTTCCTGTCTATTTGCCTATTCTGTGGCTCTATTTTGAGCATCAGTGGAGTAGAACATTTGAGTGTCTTTTCTAAAGCTATAAAGTGGTGCTACATTCTAACCTTGATCCTTCCTGCTGCTTTGGCTAATAAACCTCAGATGACTACAGTTGTTCTCACTGACCGTGTGATGATGACTATTGAACTGTACTGTGCATGGCAGCTGGCAAGGCACACCCTCCATATCCTTTGCCCTTCCAGAGTTCTTGAGATCCAAGAAAATCAAAATTCAAAATGTCCCTGATTTCTAAAATCTTGGTACATTATCAAAAAACTAAGCTAAATTGTTTTAAAAATGTTATCTGTAATCTTCAATATATTAGCAATATTTACAGCCCATATCATTGTCCTAGACAAAGAATTTATGACTAAGACCCCAAAAGCAAATGCAACAAAACCAAAAATAGACAAATGATATTTAATTAAGTGAAAAAGTTTCTGCACAACAAAAGAAATAACCAAAACAGTTAATGGACAACCTACAGAATGGGAGAAAATATTTGCAAACTATGTGTATGACAAAGGACTAATATCCAGAATCTACAAGGAACTCAAACAAGAAAAAAAAAAAAAAAAAAGAAACAAGAAAAAAAAACAACCCCATTAAAAATGGGCAAATGATGTGAATAGGCATTTTTCAAAAAGAAGATACACGAATGGCTAATAAACATATGAAAAAATGTTCAACATTACTAATCATCAGAGAAATGCAAAGTAAAACCACAATAAGATACCAACCTATTCCAATTAGAATGGCCATTATTAAAAAGTCAAACAATTTAAAAGTGTGGATGCAGTGAAAAGGGAACACTTATACACTGTTGGTGGGAATGTAAATCAGTACAACCTCTATGGAGATCAGTATGGAGATTTCGCAAAGAACTAAAAGTAGATCTACCTGTAATTCCACTACTGGATATCTACCTAAGAGAAATGAAATCATTATATCCAAAAGGTACCTGTCCTTGTATGTTTATCACAGCACAATTCACAATTGCGAAGATATGGAATCAACTGATGAATGGATAACAAAGATGTGGTATATTATACTATGGAGTACTACACAGCCATAAGAAAGAATAAAATAATGTCTTGTGCAGCAACTTGGTTGGAACCAGAGGCCGTTATCCTCAGTGAAGTAATTCAGAAGCAGAAAAATAAATGCTTCATGTTTTCACTTAAAAGTGGGAGCTAAACTATGGCTAAGCAAGGACACACAAAGTGGTA